GAAGATCGAACACTACTCAGTAATTCTTCTAGCGAGACGATCCTACTCACCATTACACCGCCGCGAGGCGTCCATTATATATATATATATATATATATATATATATATTATGAAAAGTATGACAATTATTTTTTAAGACATTTTTTATGTTTATACGTTATTTTTATAGATACAAGTATTTAAGTAAATGCTCTGTTTATAATAAACAGTATTAACAACATTTACTGGCCTGAATGTCCGAGAAATTTTCATAGAAAATATGTGTCTTCCGACAGGAATTGAACCTGTATCTTATACGCAACCGTCATATAGCCTGACGTGCCTTAACCAATTGGGCCACAGAGGAGCGTTCGGTTAGCAAGTTCGATTTTACTGTTTTTAAACACAATTCTCCATGATTTTCTCTCATTCATTCATATCTGCTCAATGCGTATCCAAATGTAAACAAATGACGTCATACATTATGAAATAGACAAAGTCCGTCAATTATTTTTTAAGAAATTCTTTATCATTATACGTTCTGTTTTTTTTTTTTAGATAAATGTTGTTAATACTGTTTATTATAAACAGAACATTTACTTAAATATTTGTATGCCTTAATATATATATATATATATATATATATATATATATATATAATAATAATAATGGACTCTCCCGTCGGTTTCGACGTATGTGCATCTGGCAACTTATTGATTCAGTTATGAAATGTGCGATAATCTGAAGTGACATTTAAGACCCGCTAGTGATTTACAAAGGAGGCCACATATGGAGCAAGTGTGAGCATTGTGAGATGAGATCACTGTTAGATTGGCTGACCTTTTAGTTCTTGCTCTCGCTTCTTGAAGATTCAGACAAGTAGATTGAAAATTGCTGAGTCCACTAAAACACGTTGATCTCCATTCTACCCGCTCCAAGGCTAAGCGCTCAAAGGTGTGATGTGGTATATTGACTGCTGACATGTTGCTTTTCAGATTTTCTTTGTATCTTAGCCATGGGCGTCCATCATTCCTCTAGCCCTGATTTTACTGGTTGTGCATCAGGATCTTGGGTATCCTGGCTCAAGACATGACCAGTCCACCATAACTGAGACTGTATGATAAAAGTCTCGATTCTTCCAATATTACACTTGTTAAACAGGTCTACATTAGATGTCCTACCTTGAAGCTTAACTCCAGATATATATATATATATATATATATATATATATTTGGTTGGATTGATGAGTTTGTGAACGTGAGTCACAAACTCACATCAATCCAACCAAATATGTTAGCTCTATCTCTGACATGGAGCGCTTTCTCATAAGTACCGCGCATATAATACATAAATAATTATATGTATATATTTATATTTATATACACACACTTTTCACACATACACACACACACACACACACACACACACACATACATATATATATATATATATATATATACATATATATATATATACGTGTCTCTTTGAAGTGAATTAATTTATGCAGATGAATTGACTTTGGCCTCAGGTTTATGAGATTAGTATGATGGCACTGCGGGACTCTTTATTGCCTTTTCGGTGCAAACTCGACAATTCCACACATCAACCGATTCTGAAAATAAAATGTCAATTAACTTCTTTCCGTATTTTGCTACTGTCACTGAAACACTTTGAAACACTATGGCTGACTGCTGCATAGAAAACTTTAATAGAAGGCCCGAGTGCCACTCAATTTAGAGTATTACTGAATTAGATTGTTGGCAGGGAGGCATGTAAGAAAGGTTTACCCCCGCATTTGTATTTCGTTCCTTGTAGACATTATTATATCCATTATTATATCCATGATATAATAGCACTGTATTTCCCGGACGGAACGGAATAGCCAAAAGAAAAAGGAACGACAAATATGTCTGGTTCTCAGAGACATACACAAAACTATATATACATATATACACCCGTCCTGGGTATGACGATAAACTACATCCGCATCTCGGGTAAGATGATAAACTATTTCCAGTAGCAAGGCCTTTGTTCAGAAGGTTTTGTGGAGCATGGAATCACCTTTTAATTGCAGGTGTTCCCAGGTCGGCCCTGACCCGGGGTGGTAGCACCTGTTAAGCTTCCTGCTATGGGCAAATAGTTAACCCCTAGACTGGGGTCAAAACATTGTGTAAGTGTAAAAATATGTTTTAATATCAGAAATACTTAAAAAAAATATTACCAGCAATAAACTTTTGAAGAAAAAAATATTACCAGCAATACATTTTTGAAAAAATTATTACCAGCAATACATTTTTGAAGGAAAAATATTACCAGAAATAAATTTTTGATAAAACAAAATATTACCAGCAATAAGAATTTTGTCGGCATTAAATAACCCATTGAGGATATGCCTTAAAACATACCAAGCGAAACGAAACCAAACATATATACACGTGTCGTACGCAGAGAATAATATATCACAAATATCTATACGGCAAAGCAGAGTGTATGGAGAAAAAAAAAAGAAAAAGAAAAACGGAAGGGCCATGCATATAATATGGAAATTCTTCTGTGTTTCTGGAGAATCCATGCTTAGGACTCCAGATTCAAACGGGCCGGATATATCTATTATGTTCAAGTTCCAGCCCGGAATTTGCTCTGATCTGACTATTGGGAAAGATAGATCATTTTAGGAGCAGTCTGGTACTTTTTGGAGCGGCAGAAAGAAACGACAATTTTTTCAGCATTATTATGTACTCATAGGAAATATTAGCATTGATCAGTAAGACTAGACTCATGAAGAAATAAATAAAAGCTAAAAATATCAGTTCATTTTTAATCCTATTTTATTTCACAGTTTTTACTTTTAAAATTAGTGTGCTTATTGCTTTCAACTCTCAGCTATTTTAAAAATAGATCTTTTTTTTCTGTTCACATAGAAAACCTTAGAGATCTGCAACTGAAAATGGCTGTGGTGTAGCTTTGAAATTACTAACCTTTCTATCAAGCAAGCTGTTTTCTATGTAATGGTTATAGATTTTTTTGTTTTCCTAATCGATGAGTTCGTAAACAGATATTTTGACGTTGATTATAAAAATCATTAAAATATATTCAGTTTGAGATTTTAGAAGGGAACAGCAATAGGGAACAAACACATCATATTAGTACATAGTTTTGTTTCTTAAATCATGAAAAAAAGAAATGAAATCTTTTTTTCAGTTTGAATTTCTGTGATGAGGAGTTATCATTATTGACATTATTTACAAGCAGAATATTGTTTTCATATCTGTTGTTATCATAACGTTTCGGTCTTCATTTGGTGTATGTCGGTCCGGTTAACCTAGAAGGAATTCTGAACAGAACCCTTTATTTAATCTACGGATGTACACTGTTCTGGTTTCATTGCCCATGTCGCGGGGTATCTTGTCTAGTTCTTATTTTTAATACTGCTTAGTTATTGCTCGCCCTGTTTCCACTGAATCCAAGTCGTCACTGCTCAGCCAATTAATGATAAATGCGGCAATAATTAAAACGTCAGTTATTTAAATAACCAAGTAGATAATCTTTTTATAGAAGATGTTGCTTCCATAATTCTACTGGATTATATCTTTTTGGGATTGCTGCGTGTTATACACAGAAATACAACAAATCAGAACTCACAATGACTATGTCACCAAACTCATGAGCCAACGCTTTAATACACTAAGCTCTTCTGTAGGTTACCCGGACCGGCAAAAACCTGATGAAAGGCACAGCAGTCGAAACGTTATGATAAAAACAACAAAAATGAGGATAATAGTTCGCATGCAAATATCGTAAATTTCAGATTTCCTATCATAATTAATATAAAAATAATCTTATTCCATGAAAGATTAATGGAAACGAGAATAATTTATTTTTCAAATTGTTACAAGCCCTTCAGTTTTAATAATTCTTTCAAAGGCTGTAATTTCTAACAGCCAGGAAAAAAATATAAACACAATCAAAATAAAGTTTCAACTTTACTAGAAGATATGAATCATTCTACTTTAAAATTTGTTTGGGGCTTTTGAAAATAGAAAAAAAAGTTAATTATGCTAATTAGTCCAAAAGAAAGTAAGATAAAAAAAATGTGGAGTTAAAATTCAATTTTGGTTAAGTTATAATGACTGAAATTAATGTCAATGGTGGTGGTTTGAAAAATGTTAATTTGGACTGCAGTGAGCGGACCGTTTTTTTTGAAAATGATAATAATAGAAAGAATTTAGAATTTGTTGGGAATGATAAAAATTGATAATAATTACTACGTCAGTTATTTTAATAACCAAGGCGATAATATTTGAACATGTCATTTACAAAAATACTGATTTTGTGCATAGAATTAAAATAAAAAAGAACCGGATTTCTACTCTTTTGTTGTCTTGTTGCGTCTTGTGCTAACTTAATGAAGAGATCAGAGTAAAAAAAAAACAAAACAAAAAAAAAAAATCAAAAAAAACGAAGTACCTGATGAAATGCTGGTTCGAGAAAATATAAATTGGGAGTTGATCCGACATTTGCATGAGATAAGCGAAGAGGAAAAAAGGAGACTTGCAAAACGCAAACAAACAATTGGTTTGATCACGAAGCACAATGTTTGAAGCATTTGATTTATTCTGACGCAGAATAGTGGATTTAATACAAATCTCGCAAGGAAAAAAGAATTTTACACAAATCTCGCAAGAAAAAAAGAATTTTACACAAATCTCGCAAGAAAAAAAGAATTTTACACAAATCTCGGAAGGAAAAAAAGATTACGGTGCAGCACCTTCCGCTCCAAAATGCTCTCGAAAGTCAAAGAAAGACCCAGATGTTTTAAAAAATGAAGGTGATCGCGACTCGCCACAGATTCCTTTTTTTTATTTGTGATTCTTCAATTATCAATTTTGAGAAAGAAAGTGGGGAATGTACAACATGGTAAAAGTGGTTTGTGAAATTTTCTTATGCAACGATGTATTTTTTTATACACCTGAATAAAATATAAATATATTATGCTGTCTCATTATAGGAAAGGATTTACCGCCATATCATGTTCAAACACTAGTTCCCGTACGGTCACCGAAGTTAAGCAACGTTGAGCCTCGTCAGCACCTAGATGGGTGAACGCTTGGGAATAAAAAGTGATGAGTGGGTGATGCAAAGCGTAATGGCACGGAATTATTAATCGGAGGGTCCAGTTGGGTTCGTTTTAATCACTTACGCGTAATATTCTGAGAGAAAGAAATGAATCCACCTACTCTACCGCTAGCGATGGGTTAATTAGTAAAACTTGTATCTCTAAATCATTATCATCGCGAAAATGAAAAAAAAAAAATCGTACACTGTAGAAAAATATTTTCTACAAATATCTGTTTCATTGAATATTGTAAACAACGTTGTTATAACCATAAGACCAAAGATCAGAGTATGATGAAATCCGTTTTGATATAAGGGAACGGCAGAGAAATTAATCTGCATATCAAATCGAATTGGTACAACGCCATGAATCCAATTATGTCCGTGTCACAATGAAATGTATACTCGTACTGAGTAAACGTGCAGCGTGTTGATGTGTAATGAAATATTTTCATTCAGTCTTTCGGAATTGCTACAATTGCGAATAAATGTCTGCTCACAAAAGCCATAAAAAAAACCTGTACTAAAACAAACCGAAGTATAGAGAGAAACCCTAGAAAATCATCATCATCACATCATTATCGTCATCATCATCATCATGATAGAATGACTACATCATGTTGAAAACTCTGGTTCCCGTACGATTATTGAAGTTAAGCAACATCGAATCTAGTCAATACCTAGATGGGTGACCACTTGTAAATAAACTGTCCTGCAAGCTCGGATGTGCGGGTGGTGTAATGTATAATGGCTCGAAATTATTAATCAGAAAGTCCCGTTAGGTTCGTTAGATTCAATTACGTGTAAATATTCTTGGAAAGAGGTAGGCATCCACCTTTTCTCCCACCAGCTATGGGTTAATTAGTAAGACTTCTATCACTAAATCATTATTATCGCGAAAAAAAATCGTACAATGTAGGAAAATATTTTCTGCAAAGTGTTGAGAAGCCGTAGAAAACGAATCAATTAATCATTTTATGAAAGATTAAAAGTTATTAAAACACAACAAGCTTTGTCCAGTTCATGATTTATATTATTTATATTTGCTTCAAATACATGCTCCAAAGCGACTGAAGGTAGAAATTTACTGTTTACGATTGTTGGGAACAGGAAAGTTGAAGTAAGAAGTGCATATTATGAGAATATGTAGGATGGATATCGGTTGAAGAGAACAAGATTTTAGTCGTCTGGGAAGCATCCTCTCGGGAGTCGATTCCATAAAGTAACAGTTCCAGGACAGAAGCTGTCTGAGTGGAACATATTCCTTACCAAAAATAATACGTAGGGAATAAAGAAGATCTGATGCCATGAACATGATATGGAATTGCGGGTCTAAACTGGTGAAATAAAGGAATGTGGCACGTTCGAACATTTTCCATAGCGATAGCGATAGAATAGCGAGAGGCTAGCAACATCTCAGCTGTTGGGTAGAGATTGTAGAGTGGATAATAATTTATCACTCACAAGGCCGTGACAAGGCTGGATGACGAGGACTGGACAACATCAGTCCAGATCGGGTATCAATATTGCATTCTTGGCCTTTTTTGTTACAGTAAGATTCACCCTGTACAAGGTTCGGAGGCTACGTGAGGTAGAGGGTAACGATAAGGTGTAGTTTATGCGTATAGGAGAAAAAGATAACGGTCATCCCTAGACCTGATCAAGTTAAGATTGCAGTGATTTAGGAAACATCCTCTTCGGTTCCACAGAGCATTGGTTTGCAGGTTTACTTCTTACCAATGCAATACGGAGGGAATGAGGGTGGTTTTCTACAAGTTGAGTGGCATGGCGTGTCCTAGCCGTGACGTTTAGATCTGTTGGAACTATGTAATGTAATCCGTCCGAACAATTTCCATGGAATAGCGATAGAGCAGTTTGAGGCCAGTCACGTCTCGCCTTTGAGAGAGAGGTTGGAGGGCAGAAAATAATTTGTCATCCACAAGGAGGTCGAAACGCGTTTGCACTCTATCGAGGAAAAAGAGTGAGGACTGGACAGCTCCCGCCCGAATATGACAGCAGTATTTCATTTTAGGTCTGGCGTGTCTGTTGTAAGGGTAGAGATCTGTCTTTTGTACAGACAACTCATGGTAGCAGCAGAGATAATAGGACATGACCACTCTTCCAGCATCTTTAGGGATGGTACGAATATGTAATTTCCATTTGAAACCTAGAATTAGCTTCATATCCAATGGACGTTCAAGGCAATGTGTTTCAAAGATAGCAGCTCACGAGGACTGGAGCAAATTTAGAGTCTGCTCGGTAGTGAAACTTTTAGTTTTGTTTTGGAGGTATTGAATGATTGTGGTGGTAAAGCAACGACTCAACTGATAATAACAGATAAAAAACGCGAGGAGGGTAACCGACAAAATAGTGTCACATGTCCAACCTTCTCACGAGCAAAAAAAAACTCAGTCCTCAGAAACAAAAACGCGCCTGCTTTATACAGCCTAGGACCGACCATGATTCGCATGCGAATCACGAGACAACGAGATTTCGCGTTAACTGTCCGAGACCGCCCGCCATAAAACATGGGCGCCGCCATTTTGCTTCTTTTCCGTTGAGCAATTGGAGTTTGCAGACGCACAGATTCGCGGGCGTTTTCGAGGTAGGCCATTTTCACAATTTTCCCCACAATGATATAAGGCAATGTTTTCCCCAGTGGGATTTGAGAGATCGGTCAGCAGAGAGATCGGCGGCCAGATTATGGTCATTAAGATCCTTGGAATTGCACACATACACCTGGGTATAATCTGCATTTATATTTTTAATGACGAAAATGTTCTTCGTTGTATGAATAATCAAACCTGGCAAATAACGTTTTCTAAAAGTCGATGATGTAGATTTTCTCGTTGAAAGATAATTCACGGCTGAGTAGATTAGTTAGTAGTCAAATTCATACATTATTTGAGAACAAAATTGCTCTGATTTAACCGTAATACAGAAACTTTTCTGCCAGTCATCAACAGAGCTGAGACTAGACTCCTGGAGAGCAAAACACTGTGACGTCTTTTCAACTGACTTGAAGTGGAACGACTGCATCGAATCAAGAGGTGAATCTACTGCAAGGAAAGTTGGTTCACTGTGCCGTGCCAGGAAATTTTTCTCGTCAGAGTCCATCTTCCACATTTACAAATCTACCATTCGACCGTGTATTGAATACTAGTGCCATATCTGGTCTGGTGTTTCTGTTATTGATCTCGATGTTCTTAACAAAATCCAAATAAGGATCTACAATATAATAGATCCTGACTTGGCATCTCGACTTCAGTCACTTTCTCACCGACGTGACGTGGTTTCCCTCTGTCCTTTCTAGAAATATTTTCATAGCAAACGCTCTGATGAGCTTTTTTCCTTGGTGCCTCGACTACACGAATTTAAGCGTGTTACTAGATTGGCATCTAGGTCCCACCCGTTTACTGTTGAAATAGCTAAATGCAACCGTCACTTCTATTCTAACAATTTATTTTTTTGCACTATTTTTTGCACGTGGAACTCCTTTGTGTTTACTTGCTTCTCTGATAAATACAATCTTCAAAAATGTAAATGCAACGTCAATCGTCATCTTATACCTTCTTGAATCCCATTCGTTTCCTCAATCCTCCCTATACTCAGCCTTACCTTTCATTGCCTGTGACCCACTGCGTACCAGTGTCCTTGCTTTAGTGGAAATGATTTTAAAAAAAAAGAAATAAAAGAAAGAATAATTGGGGATACAATGCAGAATATCAGGCGTTGAAAATTATTTACAGTTGTTTGGCATTTTAATGTGTGGCTTCGGCAAAAATTAATTGAAAAACAAAACTAAATTACTTTATTGTGTGTTACGCTATATCGACTGTAACAAATATATTCTGTTTTTGAAACGAACTGTTACAGGCGATGAAATGTTAATATTTTACAAACATCTGTCAGGAATAAAATCATGAATAAGCACCATTAACCGTACCAAATGTTGTTCTCTGTCTAAAGAATATAATTATATACATATATATACATAACCTGTAATTATATACATATATATATATATATATATATATATAACCTGTAGTCGATATTACTTTTGTCAAATTTTCTTGATTATAAATGCCTTTCGTTTTAGTTCCCCCCACCTCTACCCTCTCACCCCTTTTTCTTTTCTTTTCCTCTCCCTCCCTCCCTCTTATTCTGATCTTTAAGTTTAAATCGTTTATTGTGTGTGTATGTCACAACAAAATGTATCCTTTCCGGTTACATCTTTAATGTATTAGACATCCAAGTATATTCATATTTCTCTCACTTAAACCGTCTTTGACTCCCCTCTTTAAAACTTCTCTCTGTTCAATTTTAACCCCCCCTTCATCTTTAGACCTTCCTGTTGTTCTCTCATCCTCCCTATAGCTTTCATTTACTCTAACATTCGTCCCACACTCTCGTACATACATTCTCACTAAATTTTATTTTTTATTCCAGGATGTGTTTTTTTCTGTTTTCTTTTTGAATTTGTAGGTCTGATGAATTTAATCGTCTTTACGATTCCAATGGAATAAATTATGACCATGGAATATTAGTGTATAAGCTTTTTATTATATATATATATATATATATATATATATATATATATATATGATAGAACTGAAAGGGAATCTTTACCTATGAGATCCTTCTGAAAGACCAAGGATTAACTTGAAGAATACTGCTACAAATTAGATCAAATGAAGACAACATGCATCTGTTTGGGATTAATTAAGAGAAAGTACGTAATATTTTATTGACTACTATAGATCACATGTAGGAAAAAATTGGTGATTCAGCAAAAAATTGGTGATTCAGCAAAAATTGTCATGACATTGCTTGGAAGATTTCACTCTGCTATACACCCGTGTTATGTCCATTTATATTATCAGTTTTAACGGACTTTGAAGAGCCCACTTTATTAAAATTTCCATAAATTACAATTTTTATATTTTACAATTTTCTATATTTCTGAATCTTTCGAAAATATAGAAAAGCAGTGAAAGTATCTGCAATGAT